CATCGACTAGCGATGTTTTGTAGAAGCCGAGGCCTCAGTTGGTCGGGTAGATGGCGTTGTCGCTATTGGCATGATCATAAAAGCTGCCCATGGAATCACGTGTAGAGGAGTGCAGCACACGTGAATCCATGGGCGACTTTATAGCACAGGGTCCGACGTTCGACAAAGGTCATGGATGGTGTCCCCGTGTTTGGCCGCGTCGTTGGTTGTGGTGACGCGGCTTTACGACGTCTAACAAACCTCACATGCGTCGATTTCGGTATCTAGCTGCACTAGCGCAGATCTATTCCCTCCAGGTCTTGCATTCCGCGTAACCTACCACGTGAACAAAGCAAATAGACTCTTTTGCGCTGATGATGAACGTAAACACTTTTCAGCACGCTTGATCCGTACTTTCATCAACTTCTATTGCCAGTGCCAACAGAATACGAAACCGTGGTATTCATGCGCCCGCGAAGTCACGGACGATTTGCCGGAGATGCATGGCTCACCGTACAACAGTTCTATCAGTGATCGCTTGCAGAGTGGCTGAGGCAGAGACATCCTCCTCAGGCTGAAGCCGGGCACGAGCACAACATGCTGCGGTTCGTTGGTTGTTGCTATGAGCCTCTCATGTTCTTTGCACGATAACGGTAAGGACAACATCACGCATGAGCGTGGACACACAGAGCGACCGAGTGGTAGAATGTAGTATGTGCCTTAGCTCATTTCAAAGTGCATTGCATGTTGGTAGGTCACGAAAGTAAAATGACTGATCCGTATAACTTGCCAAGTACTTCGTTTGATCTGAAATTGTTGAAGCCATCGAAATTGACAGCATGAATGGGCACGCCGTCGAGCGCGGGCGTCATATTCGAGTACATTTGGAGGACTGAGCTTGCATGGCTTCCAACTTGCTTACCCACGACTTCAGCAACAATACGAACCGAGCACGGCGCTCGCAACACACGAATGTGGCGGCGTAATGGGGTCTGATGTGACTCATTGAAGCGTCATGTGCGAGTACTTTCACCGTGTTGTGAGCTCCACTATGCACTTGCACATCGGCACAGCACCGAACGTTCGATGCGTTGGACAAGCTCAAGATCGCCGCATGTTGCTTTGATGCTTGGAGGCCTAGTGACGACACAACCACCACTACATGAGATAACATCTCGCATAGCAGCAGCTGGCGCTGTAAGTCCTCGCTCAATTCAATCAGCCTTACGTCTCCGCTTTCCATTCGTTTCCAATGTGTTGACAAGTGGAAATCTTGCGTTGCGTTCGTATGTCTCCACACATGCGCATACGTATTAAAGTGTCGACGCGAGCAGCAGAATGGGACCCCCCGCAGTTGGCTGAAACGCGAGGAGGAAGCAAAAGCGGGACAAAAATGGCACGAAATGATCGTATCGCGTTTGTGTGCACTGACAACATTTGTGTTTATCAAAACTACATGTACAACTACGACGGTACCCCAATCAAAAGCACACCACGCTTGCCAGACTTGGGGCACTGTTTGACTTGGGTCGTGCTAAGGTGATCTCAGCTGCTTCAAGCGTCCTACAAACCAAACATGGTACAGCTCAAACCACGAGCGTGCGATTGTTACTCCTCAGACAAGAAGCTCGAAGCTCGCTTACGAGAGCAAGCGGCGGAGGCCACCGGTCTGCACGGTCGTGTGCAGAGTCTATTGGGCGTACACGTCTTTCGGAACAGCTCCGCCGGTACTGTACCCGTTGGCAGCGTTGCTGCTTGCCTCCGCATTCGCTCCAACTCCTCGGCTTACACCGGGACCTGCGCTCGAACGGGCGCCTGCAGTGGCTGCCGCAGCGGCAGGTACATCAGCTTCACCATTACCGACGTTGGCACCAGCACTGGCAGTCGCAGCGCTGTTAGCGGGTGAACCGTAATCGTTCAACTTTGCTGTTGCACCTCCATAGCCACGCTGGTTGCGGTTGCCGCCCGAGTTGTAGTCATCGCGACTGTCGACGTCGTCGTTCCTGCGGCCATACTGATTGCGATTACCTCTCCTTCCATCGTCGGAGCTGTCACTGTCACTGTCGTCGTCGTCATCGTAGACGGATCGCCGGCCATATCTGCGACTGTGATCATGTCGGTGGTATCGATGACGCAGGTGTCCCGACGTCTGCGCAGCTGCCGTTGACGCATCCACAGTGTTGCTCGAGAATGCCAAAGCAGCCACGCCTAGCACACCGATCATGTTGCTGAGTTTCATCTTGGTTGTGGAGGTGTCTGTGTTGGGTTGGGTAGGTTGTACGACCGAAGTTGGAAAATGAGGTCACATGTGAGGGTCTGAGCTGCGAGTGTACCCGACCACGTTTCGATGCCGACCCTCTCTCGTGACGAAGAGAGCGTTGCAAACGATGAAGGCTAGACTACAGATGAGGATTGTCGAGATAGAGACGAAGGTTGCGTTCACGCAACACGCAATCGTTGCGGCGACTGCCAAAAATACAGGACAAAGCACGGAGAGAAGGTCACCAGATGGCTCGGAAGGAGAGGCAACGACTGTCAGCTCGAGCAGGTTGACAGCCAACAGATTATCGCTCAAAGCGGGGCGGGGTAGATATGGCGTGACTAGCATTCTTATGATGCATTTTTAGCCAACCGTCCGAGCTGTAGCACATACAGTCCTGGCAAAGCATAGATGTTCATTCTCCGCAACGCTCATTCGACTTGCTCCATTCACCACGTGGTGAAGCACCAAGGTAGAGTGCTGTATTTCGGCAATCATCAGCCAAGCTGTTTGTCAGAAGCTGATTATTACACACTCGGGAGGGTGGTCATCATGGCGTGCGGCAACAGATGCGCGGTGTCAGTAGTTTGTAGAGATACAAACGTTTGCAGCAGCAGTAAACAGACCGAGCGAGCACATGTTGCTATGTTCTTTGTTTTTGTTTGTCTGATTTTGATTTGTTTTGTATTGTATGGTGAGGTACATCAAGCTGCTTCGGAAGATCTCGAATCGCCGAATGTGCTGCGCTGCCCTTTACGCCAGGTGAGGTTTGAAAACCGGTGCGGTCAACAGCTGCGGGTGACAGCGGCCGGTCAGGGTTGTACCAACTTCCATGTGAGTTGTGGTGGATAACTCGTTCCATCGAACATGGCACAGTCCACTGCGGTAATTCGTTGCGCCGCCTAATATGTGCATGTTCATTGCTGGACGTTGTTGTTAGGGAAACGTGTGAGATCTGAAAGGATTGATCTGCCGTCCGCGGCACTCGTCGATACGAAACGACTCGAGTCCATCGGATGTTGGCGGCTCAATCCACCATCTTGTTGTGCTCCCGGTTGTGATGTGTCCAGCTACGTTCGTCAGAGCTATCCGCACATCGTCTAGCGATGTTTTGTAGAAGCCGAGGCCTCAGTTGGTCGGGTAGATGGCGTTGTCGCTATTGGCATGATCATAAAAGCTGCCCATGGAATCACGTGTAGAGGAGTGCAGCACACGTGAATCCATGGGCGACTTTATAGCACAGGGTCCGACGTTCGACAAAGGTCATGGATGGTGTCCCCGTGTTTGGCCGCGTCGTTGGTTGTGGTGACGCGGCTTTACGACGTCTAACAAACCTCACATGCGTCGATTTCGGTATCTAGCTGCACTAGCGCAGATCTATTCCCTCCAGGTCCTGCATTCCGCGTAACCTACCACGTGAACAAAGCAAATAGACTCTTTTGCGCTGATGATGAACGTAAACACTTTTCAGCACGCTTGATCCGTACTTTCATCAACTTCTATTGCCAGTGCCAACAGAATACGAAACCGTGGTATTCATGCGCCCGCGAAGTCACGGACGATTTGCCGGAGATGCATGGCTCACCGTACAACAGTTCTATCAGTGATCGCTTGCAGAGTGGCTGAGGTAGAGACATTCTCCTCAGGACGAAGCCGAGCACGAGCACAACATACTGCGGCTCGTTGGTTGTTGCTATGAGCCTCTCATGTTCTTTGCACGATAACGGTAATGACAACATCGCGCATGAGCGGGGACACAGAGCGACCGAGTGGTAGAATGTAGTATGTGCCTTAGCTCATTTCAAAGTGCATTGCATGTTGGTAGGTCACGAAAGTAAAATGACTGATCCGTATAACTTGCCAAGTACTTCGTTTGATCTGAAATTGTTGAAGCCATCGAAATTGACAGCATGAATGGGCACGCCGTCGAGCGCGGGCGTCATATTCGAGTACATTTGGAGGACTGAGCTTGCATGGCTTCCAACTTGCTTACCCACGACTTCAGCAACAATACGAACCGAGCACGGCGCTCGCAACACACGAATGTGGCGGCGTAATGGGGTCTGATGTGACTCATTGAAGCGTCATGTGCGAGTACTTTCACCGTGTTGTGAGCTCCACTATGCACTTGCACATCGGCACAGCACCGAACGTTCGATGCGTTGGACAAGCTCAAGATCGCCGCATGTTGCTTTGATGCTTGGAGGCCTAGTGACGACACAACCACCACCACATTAGATGTCATCTCGCATAGCAGCAGCTGGCGCTGTAAGTCCTCGCTCAATTCAATCAGCCTTACGTCTCCACTTTCCATCCATTTCCAATGTGTTGACAAGTGGAAATCTTGCGTTGCGTTCGTATGTCTCCACACATGCGCATACGTATTAAAGTGTCGACGCGAGCAGCAGAATGGGACCCCCCGCAGTTGGCTGAAACGCGAGGAGGAAGCAAAAGCGGGACAAAAATGGCACGAAATGATCGTATCGCGTTTGTGTTCACTGACAACATTTGTGTTTATCAAAACTACATGTACAACTACGACGGTACCCCAACGGAAAGCAGACCACGCTTGCCAGACTTGGGGCACTGTTTAGCTTGGATCGTGCTAAGGTGATCTCAGCTGCTTCATGCGTCCTATAGACCAAACATGGTACAGCTCAGACCACGAGCGTGCGATTGTTACTCCTCAGACAAGAAGCTCGAAGCTCGCTTACGAGAGCAAGCGGTGGAGGCCACCGGTCTGCACGGTCGCCTGCAGAGTCTACTGGGCGTACACATCTTTCGGAACAGCTCCGCCGGTACTGTACCCGTTGACAGCGTTGCTGCTTGCCTCCGCATTCGCTCCAACTCCTCGGCTTACACCGGGACCTGCGTTCGAACGGGCACCTGCAGTGGCTGCCGCAGTGGCAGGTACACCAGCTCCACCATTACTGACGTTGGCACCAGCACTGGCAGTCGCACCGCTGTTAGCGGGTGAACCGTAATTGTTCAACTTTGCTGTTGCACCTCCATAGCCACGTTGGTTGCGGTTGCCGCCCGAGTTGTAGTCATCGCGACTGTCGACGTCGTCGTTCCTGCGGCCATACTGATTGCGATTACCTCTCCTTCCATCGTCGGAGCTGTCACTGTCACTGTCGTCATCGTCATCGTAGACGGATCGGCGGCCATATCTGTGACTGTGATCATGTCGGTGGTATCGATGACGCAGGTGTCCCGACGTCTGCGCAGCTGCCGTTGACGCATCCACAGTGTTGCTCGAGAATGCCAAAGCAGCCACGCCTAGCACACCGATCATGTTGCTGAGTTTCATCTTGGTTGTGGAGGTGTCTGTGTTGGGTTGGGTAGGTTGTACGACCGAAGTTGGAAAATGAGGTCACATGTGAGGGTCTGAGCTGCGAGTGTACCCGACCACGTTTCGATGCCGACCCTATCTCGTGACGAAGAGAGCGTTGCAAACGATGAAGGCTAGACTACAGATGAGGATTGTCGAGATAGAGACGAAGGTTGCGTTCACGCAACACGCAATCGTTGCGGCGACTGCCAAAAATACAGGACAAAGCACGGAGAGAAGGTCACCAGATGGCTCGGAAGGAGAGGCAACGACTGTCAGCTCGAGCAGGTTGACAGCCAACAGATTATCGCTCAAAGCGGGGCGGGGTAGATATGGCGTGACTAGCATTCTTATGATGCATTTTTAGCCAACCGTCCGAGCTGTAGCACATACAGAGTCCTGGCAAAGCATAGATGTTCATTCTCCGCAACGCTCATTCGACTTGCTCCATTCACCACGTGGTGAAGCACCAAGGTAGAGTGCTGTATTTCGGCAATCATCAGCCAAGCTGTTTGTCAGAAGCTGATTATTACACACTCGGGAGGGTGGTCATCATGGCGTGCGGCAACAGATGCGCGGTGTCAGTAGTTTGTAGAGATACAAACGTTTGCAGCAGCAGTAAACAGACCGAGCGAGCACATGTTGCTATGTTCTTTGTTTTTGTTTGTCTGATTTTGATTTGTTTTGTATTGTATGGTGAGGTACATCAAGCTGCTTCGGAAGATCTCGAATCGCCGAATGTGCTGCGCTGCCCTTTACGCCAGGTGAGGTTTGAAAACCGGTGCGGTCAACAGCTGCGGGTGACAGCGGCCGGTCAGGGTTGTACCAACTTCCATGTGAGTTGTGGTGGATAACTCGTTCCATCGAACATGGCACAGTCCACTGCGGTAATTCGTTGCGCCGCCTAATATGTGCATGTTCATTGCCGGACGTCGTTGATGGGGAAACGTGTGAGATCTGAAAGGATTGATCTGCCGTCCGCGGTTTTCGTAGATACGAAACGATTCGAGTCCATCGGATGTTGGCGGCTCAATCCACCATCTTGTTGTGCTCCCGGTTGTGATGTGTCCAGCTACGTTCGTCAGAGCTATCCGCACATCGTCTAGCGATGTTTTGTAGTAGCCGAGGCCTCAGTTGGTCGGGTAGATGGTGTTGTCGCTGTTGGCATGATCATAAAGCTGCCCATGGAATCACGTGCAGTGGAGTGCAAACAGGGTCCGACGTTCGACAAAGGTCGTGGACGGTGTCCCCGTCTTCGGCCGTGTCGTTAGTTGTGGTGACGCGGCTTTACGACGCCTAACAAACCTCACATGCGTCGATTTCGGTATCTAGCTGCACTAGCGCAGATCTATTCCCTCCAGGTCTTGCATTCCCCGTGACCTACCACGTGAACAAAGCAAGTAGACTCTTTTGCGCTGATGATGAACGTAAACACTTTTCAGCACGCTCGATCCGTACTTTCATCAACTTCTATTGCCAGTGCCAACAGAATACGAAACCGTGGTATTCATGCGCCCGCGAAGTCACGGACGATTTGCCGGAGATGCATGGCTCACCGTACAACAGTTCTATCAGTGATCGCTTGCAGAGTGGCTGAGGTAGAGACATTCTCCTCAGGACGAAGCCGAGCACGAGCACACCATACTGCGGTTCGTAGGTTGTTGCTATGAGCCTCTCATGTTCTTTGCACGATAACGGTAAGGACAACATCACGCATGAGCGGGGACACAGAGCGACCGAGTGGTAGAATGTAGTATGTGCCTTAGCTCATTTCAAAGTGCATTGCATGTTGGTAGGTCACGAAAGTAAAATGACTGATCCGTATAACTTGCCAAGTACTTCGTTTGATCTGAAATTGTTGAAGCCATCGAAATTGACAGCACGAATGGGCACGCCGTCGAGCTCGGGCGTCATAGTCTAGTACATTTGGAGGACTGAGCTTGCATGGCTTCCAACTTGCTTACCCACGACTTCAGCAACAATACGAACCGAGCACGGCGCTCGCAACACACGAATGTGGCGGCGTAATGGGGTCTGATGTGACTCATTGAAGCGTCATGTGCGAGTACTTTCACCGTGTTGTGAGCTCCACTATGCACTTGCACATCGGCACAGCATCGAGCGTTTGATGCGTTGGACAAGCTCAAGATCGCCGCATGTTGCTTTGATGCTTGGAGGCCTAGTGACGACACAACCACCACCACATTAGATGTCATCTCGCATAGCAGCAGCTGGCGCTGTAAGTCCTCGCTCAATTCAATCAGCCTTACGTCTCCACTTTCCATCCATTTCCAATGTGTTGACAAGTGGAAATCTTGCGTTGCGTTCGTATGTCTCCACACATGCGCATACGTATTAAAGTGTCGACGCGAGCAGCAGAATGGAGCCCCCCGCACTTGGCTGAAACGCGAGGAGGAAGCAAAAGCGGGACAAAAATGGCACGAAATGATCGTATCGCGTTTGTGTTCACTGACAACATTTGTGTTTATCAAAACTACATGTACAACTACGACGGTACCCCAACGGAAAGCACGCCACGCTTGCCAGACTTGGGGCACTGTTTGACTTGGGTCGTGCTAAGGTGATCTCAGCTGCTTCAAGCGTCCTATAGACCAAACATGGTACAGCTCAGACCACGAGCGTGCGCTTATTACTCCTCAGACAAGAAGCTCGAAGCTCGCTTACGAGAGCAAGCGGTGGAGGCCACCGGTCTGCACGGTCGCCTGCAGAGTCTACTGGGCGTACACATCTTTCGGAACAGCTCCGCCGGTACTGTACCCGTTGGCAGCGTTGCCGCTTGCCTCCGCATTCGCTCCAACTCCTCGGCTTACACCGGGACCTGCGTTCGAACGGGCACCTGCAGTGGCTGCCGCAGTGGCAGGTACACCAGCTCCACCATTACTGACGTTGGCACCAGCACTGGCAGTCGCACCGCTGTTAGCGGGTGAACCGTAATTGTTCAACTTTGCTGTTGCACCTCCATAGCCACGTTGGTTGCGGTTGCCGCCCGAGTTGTAGTCATCGCGACTGTCGACGTCGTCGTTCCTGCGGCCATACTGATTGCGATTACCTCTCCTTCCATCGTCGGAGCTGTCACTGTCGTCGTCGTCATCGTAGACGGATCGCCGGCCATATCTGTGACTGTGGTCATGTCGGTGGTATCGATGACGCAGGTGTCCCGACGTCTGCGCAGCTGCCGTTGACGCATCCACAGTGTTGCTCGAGAATGCCAAAGCAGCCACGCCTAGCACACCGATCATGTTGCTGAGTTTCATCTTGGTTGTGGAGGTGTCTGTGTTGGGTTGGGTAGGTTGTACGACCGAAGTTGGAAAATGAGGTCACATGTGAGGGTCTGAGCGCTACGAGTGTACCCGACCACGTTTCGATGCCGACCCTCTCTCGTGACGAAGAGAGCGTTGCAAACGTTGAAGGCTAGACTACAGATGAGGATTGTCGAGATAGAGACGAAGGTTGCGTTCACGCAATACGCAATCGTTGCGGCGACTGCCAAAAATACAGGATAAAGCACAGGGAGAGAAGGTCACCAGATGGCTCGGAAGGAGAGGCAACGACTGTCAGCTCGAGCAGGTTGACAGCCAACAGATTATCGCTCAAAGCGGGGCGGGGTAGATATGGCGTGACTAGCATTCTTATGATGCATTTTTAGCCAACCGTCCGAGCTGTAGCACAGAGTCCTGGCAAAGCATAGATGTTCATTCTCCGCAACGCTCATTCGACTTGCTCCATCCTTCCCCCGGGGGGGAAGCACCAAGGTAGAGTGCTGTATTTCGGCAATCATCAGCCAAGCTGTTTGTCAGAAGCTGATTATTACACACTCGGGAGGGTGGTCATCATGGCGTGCGGCAACAGATGCGCGGTGTCAGTAGTTTGTAGAGATACAAACGTTTGCAGCAGCAGTAAACAGACCGAGCGAGCACATGTTGCTATGTTCTTTGTTTTTGTTTGTCTAGTTTTGATTTGTTTTGTATTGTATGGTGAGGTACATCAAGCTGCTTCGGAAGATCTCGAATCGCCGAATGTGCTGCGCTGCCCTTTACGCCAGGTGAGGTTTGAAAACCGGTGCGGTCAACAGCTGCGGGTGACAGCGGTCGGTCAGGGTTGTACCAACTTCCATGTGAGTTGTGGTGGATAACTCGTTCCATCGAACATGGCACAGTCCACTGCGGTAATTCGTTGCGCCGCCTAATATGTGCATGTTCATTGCTGGACGTTGTTGTTAGGGAAACGTGTGAGATCTGAAAGGATTGATCTGCCGTCCGCGGCATTCGTCGATACGAAACGACTCGAGTCCATCGGATGTTGGCGGCTCAATCCACCATCTTGTTGTGATCCCGGTTGTGATATGTCCAGCTCAGTTCGTCAGAGTCGTCCGCACATCGACTAGCGATGTTTTGTAGAAGCCGAGGCCTCAGTTGGTCGGGTAGATGGCGTTGTCGCTATTGGCATGATCATAAAAGCTGCCCATGGAATCACGTGTAGAGGAGTGCAGCACACGTGAATCCATGGGCGACTTTATAGCACAGGGTCCGACGTTCGACAAAGGTCATGGATGGTGTCCCCGTGTTTGGCCGCGTCGTTGGTTGTGGTGACGCGGCTTTACGACGTCTAACAAACCTCACATGCGTCGATTTCGGTATCTAGCTGCACTAGCGCAGATCTATTCCCTCCAGGTCCTGCATTCCCCGTGACCTACCACGTGAACAAAGCAAATAGACTCTTTTGCGCTGATGATGAACGTAAACACTTTTCAGCACGCTTGATCCGTACTTTCATCAACTTCTATTGCCAGTGCCAACAGAATCTGAAACCGTGGTATTCATGCGCCCGCGAAGTCACGGACGATTTGCCGGAGATGCATGGCTCACCGTACAACAGTTCCATCAGTGATCGCTAGCAGGGTGGCTGAGGTAGAGACATCCTCCTCAGGCTGAAGCCGAGCACGAGCACAACATACTGCGGTTCGTAGGTTGTTGCTATGAGCCTCTCATGTTCTTTGCACGATAATGGTAAGGACAACATCACGCATGAGCATGGACACAGAGCGACTGAGTGGTAGAATGTAGTATGTGCCTTAGCTCATTTCAAAGTGCATTGCATGTTGGTAGGTCACGAAAGTAAAATGACTGATCCGTATAACTTGCCAAGTACTTCGTTTGATCTGAAATTGTTGAAGCCATCGAAATTGACAGCATGAATGGGCACGCCGTCGAGCGCGGGCGTCATATTCGAGTACATTTGGAGGACTGAGCTTGCATGGCTTCCAACTTGCTTACCTACGACTTCAGCAACAATTCGAACCGAGCACGGCTCTCGCCACACACGAATGTGGCGGCGTAATGGGGTCTGATGTGACTCATTGAAGCGTCATGTGCGAGTACTTTCACCGTGTTGTGAGCTCCACTATGCACTTGCACATCGGCACAGCATCGAACGTTCGATGCGTTGGACAAGCTCAAGATCGCCGCATGTTGCTTTGATGCTTGGAGGCCTAGTGACGACACAACCACCACCACATTAGATGTCATCTCGCATAGCAGCAGCTGGCGCTGTAAGTCCTCGCTCAATTCAATCAGCCTTACGTCTCCACTTTCCATCCATTTCCAATGTGTTGACAAGTGGAAATCTTGCGTTGCGTTCGTATGTCTCCACACATGCGCATACGTATTAAAGTGTCGACGCGAGCAGCAGAATGGAGCCCCCGCACTTGGCTGAAACGCGAGGAGGAAGCGAAAGCGGGACAAAAATGGCACGAAATGATCGTATCGCGTTTGTGTTCACTGACAACATTTGTGTTTATCAAAACTACATGTACAACTACGACGGTACCCCAACGGAAAGCACACCACGCTTGCCAGACTTGGGGCACTGTTTGACTTGGGTCGTGCTAAGGTGATCTCAGCTGCTTCAAGCGTCCTACAAACCAAACATGGTACAGCTCAGACCACGAGCGTGCGATTGTTACTCCTCAGACAAGAAGCTCGAAGCTCGCTTACGAGAGCAAGCGGTGGAGGCCACCGGTCTGCACGGTCGCCTGCAGAGTCTACTGGGCGTACACATCTTTCGGAACAGCTCCGCCGGTACTGTACCCGTTGGCAGCGTTGCTGCTTGCCTCCGCATTCGCTCCAACTCCTTGGTTTACACCGGGACCTGCGTTCGAACGGGCGCCTGCAGTGGCTGCCACAGTGGCAGGTACACCAGCTCCACCATTACTGACGTTGGCACCAGCACTGGCAGTCGCACCGCTGTTAGCGGGTGAACCGTAATTGTTCAACTTTGCTGTTGCACCTTCATAGCCACGCTGGTTGCGGTTGCCGCCCGAGTTGTAGTCATCGCGACTGTCGACGTCGTCGTTCCTGCGGCCATACTGATTGCTATAACCTCTCCTTCCATCGTCGGAGCTGTCACTGTCGTCATCACACTTTCGAATTTGCTGTCGGACGCACAGTTAACTCGAGAACGTGATTCGGTGGCGACAAAAAAAAGATCGCTTTTTCCACCAATCAAGTCGACGTATCCTTTATGGAGGACGGCCGCGACCGCGGAGCGCGTAGTCGCCGCCCGCCCAGGCCCTTAACTGGTGCATTTAGTGGCAAGCAAGTCGGACGTGGAGCGGAAGGTCCACCGAATGGGGCTGCTGCTGAGGCGGCGACCGTGGTTCCTCCTAGTGACCCACATCCCGACGGCGAGCGGATGGACTCTGTTCACGCCTCGGACGGCACCATTCTTGATTCGGTGAGGGATGTAGGGATGGATCCTGGTGTAGCCGATGTGTCCATGTCATCTCTACAGAGCGAGCCTCCCTTGCAGCAGGTAGGGGACGGTGGTACCGTTTTTGCGCCGGACAACGAGGATGATGATACCCCAACTGCCCCAAGATCGCCGCCACGTATTTTTCAAGATGCGCGGCCAATGATGCCAAGCCCGTCCGCTTGGACGGGTAACACAGTCGATGAGTTGAGAAAAGCTGCGGGCTCTCAACCCTCGCCGTATGTCAACGATGTTAACCTTCGTCTTTACGAGTGCGCGCGAAAGCGGTGCCGTCTTCGAAAGGACGGGTTTCAGCGCAGGATGACGCCAATTGAGGTGGAAACTCTTGAGGCTTGGCTTGGAGGCCATCTACAGCTTGCTGGAGCGCCTCTATTCCTCAGGGAGACTCATGTGGCGGCCGAGCGAGAGACTTTTGCTGTCCACCAGCGCTCTCGCCTTGTGCACAAGCTTTATGCTCGCCTTCCGGTCGGCCTTTTCCTTCCTGATCTAGGCGCGCGGGGAAAATTATTTAGCCTGATGCTTGCAGCTGCTGTGACTATAGCGGCAAAAACTCGTGTCAACTCGCTCATCATGGAGCTTTCGCGCGTTGAGTGTTCACGCCTGTCACCTATTGTGGCTTTCGTCTTAAACGATCGCCCTACGCGAGATTCATGGGCGAAGGCGGACCTTCGGGTGGGTAATTGTCGGCTCCAACTTCTCGTAGCTGATGACCCAGCTACGGTGGACGACAAGATTGGCTATACGGGCATTACGACTTCAATGCTCTATCAGGTGCATGTGCTCGGCAAGAGCTCGGCATTTCCGAGCGAGATCCGATCATGGGTCGCAGCCGCGACGTCGACACCCGTGCTCACTGTCAAGTCGCGGGAGGCCGATGGTGCCCATTTCTTCGGCGCGCATCGCTGGGTCGTCACTTTTGATTCCATGGAATGCCCTAAAGAACTGGACCGGAAGCACAGGATTTTAGTGACGACCGTCGATAAGAGTATCGAGGCGGTACTCATGCACCCGCGGAAGAGTACCCGCGAGCCGTGCCAGCGGTGTATCAGCGTTCGACATTTCCGTAAGGACTGTGCGGCTGTGGATCCCGATAGTACATGTGCAAGCTATACTCTATCTGCAACGGCCTCGGTAACATCCCATACGTCATTGACTCACGCGGATGGATGGATCAAGGCAACTGAAATTCTACGTCAAAAGGTGGCGCCTGGGCTTGGCGACAAACTTCGCCGAGCTTCCATGATGGAGGGGGCACCTAAGCGGCAAAAAACAGTCATTCACAAGAGAGAAGTGGCAGCGCGAGTGGAGGCTAAGGCTGAGGTGACAGCAGAACTACTTGCTATTCGTCGTTCAAAGCTGAAAGCGGCTACGAATCATTTCGCGACGGTTAAGAAGGCTGCTGCTATGGCTGCGGCTGCTCGTGCGGCAGCGGTTCAACAGTTTGAAGGCTCGTGTCCCGTCGCAAGGTCTGCGAGTCGTGGGGTGGCAGCTGACTCGCTGCCGACGTCGGTGCCTCAACCGGTATCGGGTCAGCACGTAAGCTTAAAAAGTTGTGAAGTGGCCCCTGCTGCAGTACCAGCTGCTCCTGGAGCATCCTCTGAAGGAGCGACGTCCACGGTTGTCAATGAAAATGATAGCGATGCACGCGATATGGCCACTGCTGATTTACCCGCTCTTTTTGTGGTTGGCGAGCACGCTGTGTCGACGGTATTCGAGGTACCACCTTCGACAGCGGTTGATGGGCAAGATCGGACGGAGGTGGTCCATCACCGTCGTCGCTTGCCGCCACTATGGATATCGATGAGCTTGAGGCATCGGTGCCTCCCTCTACCGCCTCTCCGAATGTCTGCAGGACACGTTGTTGCACAGATGGCCCCGACACGACTGCGATCAATTCTCACATGGCCTCCCCTCTCCCTCCTGGTTTGGAAGCAGTGCTTGCAGCGCAGGACACTGATTCAATTTTACCCATAGACAGTCAGGATCGTGTCATGGCTGGTCCGCTGCCGGCCATTCCACGTACTCAATCACCTTCACCGGATGCCGTGGAAGCGTGGAACGCGGTCGCTGCGGTTCAACGCGAGGCGGATGATCATGCCGCTACGCTTGCGTCCTCTCGTAGGCACAAAGCACGGGTGATGCCCGCACCGAGGTTGGGCTGCCCACAACCAGTTGCATCCGGTATGGTCGTTGAAGTTGCTAAGTTACTGCAGCCGACATCACCCTGCGTGCGGCTGACGAGTGAGGAGGTTTCAGAGCGCAATCGCCAAAAAAGACAGAACGGCATCGCTATCACGACGTGGAGGCGACGGACATCGTCGACACCAGTACTACCAGCGAATGGTGAAACATTTTCGATCTGGATTGAACAATATTCCTCTCAGTTGGTATCACTGATCACTTCGCTACCGTACCCACTCATGGAGCTTTACACATGGGGACGATCAGAGCTGTTTAAATTTGGTCAATCCATTTGCTGCAGTTCTCAGCTTGCGCTGATCGACCATCATTCGATGGACCAGAACTTAGAAGTTCGTCTCCGCTCTATGTGTCAGCGGCGTGCTATCGCAATTCGCTCTCTGGGAATAATTGCTTGCCGCTGGAAATTAACAAATTCAGAGGAGTAGTGGAGAGAAGTGAAGTGTTTCGACAGCGATTTACTTACGGGTGTCACAGCACCTGCCCTGGAAGACCCACTCAGCTCTATTATTTCCCTGCTGAGTATCCTCTGTCCCAGTAGATTTCCAAAGCAGCCGGACTGTGGCCTGGTGCTCCCCGACACGTGTGAACGGGTGTACGAGCACGATAACGAGATCAGTAAGGTCGCTGACACCGTGATTCAGTCTGGATCGCTGGTCGATGTGCTTGGCATCTGTGAAATTGGGCGCGGCACAGCCGTGCGTCGTTCCTAAGGGCTTCTCGGTGTCAGGACGAGCGTGCTCACAGCTTGCTCGAAAAAAACGCGTGACACGCAGACGCGGGTCAGCCCATGATCTGTCATGTGGTCTTCTTACACAAAATGTTATGGGTCTGGGAGCCGAAAACGAACGGCAAAGTCGCTGGTTTACGCATTTTCGTCAAACTGTGCAAGATGGCATGCTGGACATCACGTGCCTTCAGGAGACTAGGGTGCCTGTGAATGGTACGGCAGCGGTGACGGAGCTGCATCTTCTATCTTGGGGCTTTGTCGCTGATGGTGAAAATCAGTTCTCGCTATGGAGTCCGAGCGTGGGACGGTCCGGCGGTCTCGCTATTCTTTTACGCCCGTACAGTCGGATATCTTCACTGCAGGCATTCCAGATGGAGCACTGGACCGCTCACTGGAAGGCTGCGACTGCAATTCTGGGAGATCGAGAGTTTACGATTATTATTGTGTACGCGCCCGTGCTGAGGTCCGAGCGGTAGAAGCTGTTTCAATCGCTCGAACACGTGGTATCCAGTGTCGATAGTCCGGTGTTTCTTTGCGGCAATTTCAATTGCACGCTTTTAGATTCTCGCGATCGGTCTTACACGTCTCGCTGGAACAGCCATGACTCTCCGGCACTGCGCCGCCTTCTAGATTGCGGCGGCTTAACTGATGTTTTGGATGACGACATCGACGACCACGATTCGTACATTGATTGGCGAGTCAAACATCACACGTATTTCTATACGATGCCGGGTGGGCGAGAGGCAAGCTGTCGACTTGACCGGTGGTACTGCTCGGCCGTCGACGGAGAATGGGTACGCGCAATCGGTACGTCTATTCCTGGTCCTTTCTCCGATCACAACGGTGTTTCAATACGCGTGGCAGTTCCTGGACGGACTGTGCAGGTGAAGTCGCGAAGGCAGTTGTACCCGCCGCCTAGGTACGCTGTGCGAGAGTACGAGTTGGTGACGACGGACTTTTTCCAACGTGCATCCGGGACCCTTGAAGGCGTCATCGCAACAGCAGACACCGTTACGGAACAAGCCCGGGCAACGGCCATATGGTGGGATGCTGAAAAAGCTGGACTGCGACAGAGATACTCCGATGCGGCCAAGGATGCTCGCCGAAAATCTACGACCGGCTACCGACAGCGCCTAAAGCGGCTTACCGCCCGTCTGGCGACCGCGATCCGAGAAACCCCTGGTCCGGGTGCTGATCCGTCTCAATCGGTCATCCAAGCCCGACGTGCGGTAGTAGATTGCAAAGCCAAGTGGCAGAAGATGAAACGTCAATCGCTTTTTCGGTCCCATGCACACCATCCGGCACGGTCACAAAAAAAATTCTACCGCAGAGTGTCGACCAAGTTTGTCGATAATACGGTGTACAGCCTACGGGGTCCTACTGGCCTCGGCCATCATCGGGCACGTGATCTTGCACAGGATATGCGTGAGGGCTGGCGCGCCTACATGCAACAAACGCCTCCCGATGAAGCGATCGTCACTGATTTCCTCGACTCGCTTCCTCCGCGGAACCATGGTCCCGAACTTTCGGTTCTCAGCGACGAATTAACAGCAGCTGAGGTGCTAACATCTATTCGTCGCTGCAAAAGGGGTAAGGCGTGGGGACCGGATTCGCTTGGTAACGACTGGTACCGCGACAATGAGGCATACCTTGTACCTCTACTGACAAGGGTATTTAACGTGTGCGCACTTGGCGGCATCTTGCCGGGCACGTTCGGTCAAGCTGTAGTGGCGTGCATAAAGAAGTCGAGGAGTGCGGCATCACCACTTGACTATCGACCGATATCTCTGTTAAACTCGGACTACAAAGTCTTCACACGGATTTACGCGTCCCGCCTCAGACCGCTGCTACCAACTCTAGTAAATCCTCTCCAAACTGGTTTTGTACCTCGAAGAGAGATGGCGACGGTACTTGATATCTTCGCTGCTGCTACTTTGTGTGCAAGTAATGATTCCCGAATTGCACCGCTCGCTCGTGTTGCTGTTGGATTTCTCAAAGGCGTATGATTCGCTTTCACGCAATTTTCTTCTCGCCGTGATGAGCCGACTCGGCTTCCCGGCATCGTTTGTTCATCTCACCTCGGCTCTTCACACGGGTACAAGAAGCCAATTTATCGTAAACGGCTACATGTCCGATCCTCTTGATGTCGGGTGTGGTATACGCCAGGGTTGCCCGCTGGCACCCTTGCTTTTTATCATTGCGGTGGAACCTCTTTACGAGATACTACATAGCACGGTGAAGGGTGTTCGGATCGCAAACACGTCGGAGACACTGGAGATCAAGGTATGCGGGTACGGGGATGATACTGCTGTGTACGTTCAGTCCCCGGAGGAATTGTCTGTGGTCATGCGGACTCTAATGCGATTTGGGGCGGCTTCTGGGCTGGTCATTAATGCTTCGAAGTCTGTGGGCGGTTCCTCTGTGTGCCGGTGTGAGCATTGACCCCACACTTTTGCACGGTGTTAAGCTGTTACAGGCGGGCGAGAGGTGCAGGTATCTTGGCGTTTTAATTGGGGATGGACGGACGGTTCGGGACAACTGGAGTGCATGCCTAGTCTCACTCAATGCTCGGCTTGTGCTAGCCAGACGAAAGACAAACACGGTCAGGAGCCGAGCTCTATTAGCCTCGGCTTTAATCATTCCTAGGGTCACGTTTCTCGCGAGACACTCGTGGCCTACCCGTGAGGTTATCGACTCGTTACAGCTTTTGGTTAAGCGTTTTGTCTGGGGATCGCGACAAGGTGTGCCATCTCGAGCGTGGATGAGTGAAGCACAGGCCGGTTTACGTGTGTGTGATGGGGGGATTGCTATCCCACATGTAGCAACGGAGCTGCTTGCTATGGCGGCCAATGCGGTCGGTAAATGGGCATCTTTTTCGAATGGGCCAGCTCGAGTCGCGGGTGACATATTGCTGGCAAGGAGAGCTGGAGTTGATGTGTACCTTACTCCGGATAAGCCATGCACAACCCCTAAGTTTTTTACGGTCTCCGACACCATGTGGGCCAGCGGAGCAGCTGTGGTTCGTGGTGTGCATAGCGTCCCTATTGATTTGTCTAAGGCTGGATGTGTTGCAGCAACTGAGTCTCTCTTGCGTCGGCATATTTCAGCTGCCTACTGGGAGGGCGATACGTTAACATTTCGTATCGATACTGCCACGGTACAAGCCATTGCAAGTAAAGCGGTCGGCGAGCAGTGCATAAGTGGAACTTTCTGCCACGAGTGGCTAGGTCGGGTAAGACTCGATACGAGGCAATGGTTGATCAATGGACGGGGAGAGGACGTCAATATACCTCTCCTGCGGCGTGGAGAACAGTGGCAAACGCTTCGTGATTTCCTGACTTGGATATGGCACGGGGATGGAACCATCAAGCTCGAGCTTCAGCGTTCACGGTCACCGGCAATTCGGCGTGCGGTCTCGGTCCTGTGCAAGGCGATTGTGTGCAATTATCCCACGCTTTTCCTTCAACCGCGCTCACCATAGCTCTTGATTCTGAAACTGCAAAGAGCATTGTCTTCTCGATCAACACGATCGTGTATACATCAGTCCCAGTCCAGTCGCGGTACGACTGTGAACTCCGAGCCCGTGCAGACATCAATCAGCGGGACTTCCGCTTTCATGATCATCCTGCATTGTCGCGACTTGTGCAGCTTCACACTGGGGCTATTTGGCGTTTTAAACGGGCGAGGTACAAGGAGGCTGTGTCCGGGCAGCGTGTGGCACAGGGGACTGTGGAGAGAGATCGGGCAATCGCTGTTCAAGCTACAGATAATAAGGACCTGCATGATGCACTATCCCAGCTGGATTGGCGTGACATTCGGGCAGTGAAGGGAGCTGGGGCTTCTACGGTCCAGACACTTTTTCGATTGAAGGCCAACAAGCTGAATTTATGGAACTATGTGCACAGTGACCGTTCTTGTCCACATGGCGAGTGTCCCCGAGACGTACCTATTAGCCTTCAACACGTCTTCTGGGAGTGCCCTATTGCGAAGGCAGCATGGAAAGACTTTGACATTCGATGGAGGCGTCTCGGCGACAACGTGCCTGCTAACCTTATTGAATCGTGCTTCAGTTTGGACCTAGACGATACGCCGACACGTGCGTGGCGAACGGTATGTGATCATGTTCGTGCTGCAGGTGCCGAGCATCGTGATGTTTTGTACGAGGTTTCCAGGGATTTGTGGAGGCTGACGGTGGCGGCGACAATTCAAGCCATCTGGTGTGCGCGACTTCGTCTCCGCCACGAACCAGATGCGCTTCAATCGACATTGCGGGCGGTAATTTGCGTTACAGTAGACAATGCCTTGCGCGATTTGGTTTCATTGAGTTTTATAAATTCGACACGGATATTTCAAAACTTCCGAAGAATGCCGCTACCAGGGCGCTGGCTGATTGCCTCAAGGGGACGATTGACGGGACGATTCTCTCGCCATCGATTCGAGACCGGAGCGCCTATGTGCTTTTTTTATGGCGGCTCGCGTGGTAATCCCGGTCCAGGCGGATCCGGTTCGGTCATGGTCTGTGTTGATCTGGACACGCGAGCATCAGAGATTACCTGGGCGGCGAGCATGTCATATGCGCATAACAGCACAACCAACAACATGGCGGAATATTGGGGGCTTATTCATGGCCTCCGTCACGCTGAAACTAGACATCTCACACCATTGTACGTGGTCGGTGACAGCTCTTTAATTATCCAGCAAATGCGGCGGCATCGGCCTCCGCGTCAACCTCGACTCCGACAGCTTTATCTCAAGGCGAGAAGATGTGCGGATGGTCTCATCACTACCGCGCGAACAACAAAATGGCAGACTTGGCTGCGAATATTGCGATGGACTCCAAAACGTCACAGCAAACGTGCGCTACTGACAATCGACCACTGATTGCAAGAGTGCAACGGTTTCTCCGCACTGACGTGCACGAGTGGCAGGCATTTCCTCCAACACATACCCCGGGTCCAAGTATTTCTGCTCTTTCGGCGGTTGCTTCCTACGGTCGGAGGGTAGCTGTATAGCCCCTGTTTTTTTCATAGCTTGGCGGTGTAAACCCCCATCCTAGCCATTAGAGATCTAATAAGTACCTCAATGAAGCTCACTCACTTACTGTCGTCATCGTCATCGTAGACGGATCGCCGACCATATCTGTGACTGTGATCATGTCGGTGGTATCGATGACGCAGATGTCCCAACGTCTGCGCAGCTGCCGTCGACGCATCCACAGTGTTGCTCGAGAATGCCAAAGCAGCCACGCCTAGCACACCGATAATGTTGCTGAGTTTCATCTTGGTTGTGGAGGTGTCTGTGTTGGGTTGGGTAGGTTGTACGACCGAAGTTGGAAAATGAGGTCACATGTGAGGGTCTGAGCTGCGAGTGTACCCGACCACGTTTCGATGCCGACCCTCTCTCGTGACGAATGAGAGCGTTGCAAACGTTGAAGGCTAGACTACAGATGAGGATTGTCGAGATAGAGACGAAGGTTGCGTTCACGCAACACGCAATCGTTGCGGCGACTGCCAAAAATACAGGACAAAGCACGGAGAGAAGGTCACCAGATGGCTCGGAAGGAGAGGCAACGACTGTCAGCTCGAGCAGGTTGACGGCCAACAGATTATCGCTCAGAGCGGGGCGGGGTAGATATGGCGTGACTAGCATCTTCTGATGCATTTTTAGCCAACTGTCCGAGCTGTAGCACATACAGTCCTGGCAAAGCATAGATGTTCATTCTCCGCAACGCTCATTCGACTTTGTAACGGGGCACCCTGAAGCTTGTACTGGTGACAGTACAAGCTACTTATTCTGATAACAGAATAAGGCGGTGCCTCGTAACTTCACGTACACTCGTACGTGCAGAGGAAGACGGTAAGAAGAAGCGAGTACTCGGTTAGAGTAAAAAGTAGAACTGTATTTATAATAGTTAATGTCTGCAATAAATCACTATTTATCTTCATCTAACTATGTCTAAATACAAATGTGTGAATCAGTTATCTGCTCACCACTCATTGCGTGCGTCTGTCGTGGCGCGTCTTCGTTGGTTGATTTTATATGGCCCTTCAAACCCAATTGGGACTACTTGGAAGTGCTACAGAATATTGTCCTTATGACAATATTCTGAGAATATAACTCTTATAGTTATATTCTATTAACAATTTCTTATAAATTGTTATGTAACGATTCACCCCGTTACATCGCCCCCCTTAACCATCAGTCACTTTAGTGACTGATTGACTAAATGGATACTCGTCCCAAATCATTTGGGACGGGGTTTGCACTTGTTGGTACGCGTCCACTTTCCAACATTTCATCGCATGGTAAACAAGCCCATGCGATGCGCGAGCAAGGCCGCCGAGAGCGCGTCTGCACGTCTCTGTGCGGACGCCGAAGCAGAAACCGCAGCAACTGATGTCCCATCGGTTGCTGAATCGACTCAGCCTGTGTCACCTGGTGATGCAGGCGCTGGTCATGAAGACACGCATGTCTTCACAGAGTACGAGCTCGGTGTCTCGTACTCTCCTGATACGGATGACGGATCCGTATCGACGGCGATTGAATCCAAGCCGCCTGCCAAGCGTGGCATGGACGATGCTTTGCGTCGCAGCATCTTTGGTTCATCTGATGAGTCAGATGAACCATCGCCGAAGCGAAGGCGCTCGAGGTCGCGAGAGTCGGGCGCTCACAGTGGTTTCGGTTCTCCTATGGACACCACTTCACAGCGAGGTGCCAGTACTTCTGTCGGCACTTCGCAGGAAGAGCGGGACCGCAATGTGTTGCGTCTCGCTCCAAAAAAGAAGGCATGGATGCCTCCTAAATCTGTCATGGATCACTTGTCGGCGACGACGAGTGATCGTTATCGAACACGATTGTTCGATTCGTCAAGGATTCATCACCTTGACCCCAGCGCGAAAGACTATCGCGCTGAACATGAGTTCTTCATCGATGCCTTCTTCAGACATCGATGGTACAGTGGGAATCACAAACGTGATGGTCCCTCACTACTTCAGGCGTGGAACGCCTACATCCATAATCTCGAGGATGTAGGTCGTGACGCTTGGAACGACAAACTTATCAAAGCTCGTGATAAGTTTGAAAAGCGAACCCCGACAGGTGCACGCTATAAGCTGCATCGTCTGTCAAGGGAGAAAGGATTACCCTGCCTCTCTTGGGGAGACTCGTGCCCATGTTGTGTGAACAACTCTGCACGAGCACCTAAGGAGGCTTACCTCCTCTACCAGCCCGTGGTGGCGCGTACGTGTCTCTACTGAGATGTACGAAGGGATTGACAACCTGAAATCCCTTTACGACCGTGCCGGGAAGACTTTCTCCGGCGGTCCTTCTGCGGCACAGGATGTGTCGCGTCGTACTGCTCGACCAGACCCAGTACGTCAACCATCAATTGGGAGCGGGGCTCCCAAGAATCCCAGGACGGGGGATAGCCGCGCCACCGGACGAGGTAACTCGTCCGACGTCCAGTTCACGTCGCGGTGGTTCAACAGCTGCTCTACTAGATAGCGCTGGCCACCGCGAGAGTCCTCTAATGGAGGTGGAGGAGGAGGAAAGACGCTCTCCACACGATCATGTGGATCGGTGTGTTCCCGAGAGCTTCTTTGATCGCGTAACGCAAGGGTTACGCGACGATCTCGAGCATGAGCGGAATAGGCGTCTCCAAATGGCGGACACTGCCTCGAAGCATCGAGCTGAGTTTGCCTTTGCTCAGCTTGAGAACGAGAGATCTCTGACATCTCTTCGTGACGAGCTAAGGGTAGCTCGTGGGATTGTTGATCGGTCTCGGGCTGAGATAACTGCTCTTCAGACCCTTGTTGATGCCCACCATCGGGAGCACAAGGCTCTCTGCGAGATGCTTGAGCGCAAGGGCGTTCTTCATCGGAAGAAGCAGCGTACTGATGGTACGGCTTAAGCCGACCAACGTAAAACGTGGGATGCGTTCGCATCTTACGTGGTAACTCGATCGTGTATGCATTGCCTAGGCGGTGCAATACACGAAATGGGCCAATGTACTTGGGTAGTAGTTTACTGCTACCCAAGTTAGTCACTACATGTTTTGGTAGATTAACCGTAGACAGTAGGACTAAGTCACCTTTATTAAATAAAAGAGTGTTTGCCCTTCCATTCTTGTCAGCGTTTTGCTTTTGCTTATCCACCGCTTCGGCGATGGAGTCTTGCACAAAACGGACTACCGTTTCACGAGCCAGTATGAACTCATCTGATGACTCGTTAGCTTCAGTGTGCTGTGAGCGCACTGCAGCGACAACAACCTTTTCTTCAGTGAGGGCTTCCGCACTCTCACTGGGATCATTGTCTTCAGTGAGGGCTTCCGCACTCTCACTGGCATCATCTTCTTCGATATCGATGTTATCGATATCGGCATCAAACGCAATGACTTCTTCGTCAGAGCGTGATGAGCGTGAACCAAATCGGTTTTTGCTCGCGCGAGTCCCTCCCCCCTTAAACCAGAGTTACACTCTAGTAAGGTGGGTACACGCGGATGGCGCAAGCCATTCACGTAAAACGGTGTATGTGTCGTGGACGCATGCACCGAGTTGTTGATGGCAAACTCTACCATCGGCAAAAACTCACTCCAACTCTTAAAGGAGTGTACGTATCCTCGAAGTATCTCTTCAAGGACACGATTGGCACGTTCCGTCTGACCATCTGACTCTGGATGATCAGATGTTGACATCTTCAAGCGCGTTCCGAGTGATTTGAACACGGAACGCCAGAAATCAGCAGTGAATCGTGGATCTCTGTCTGATACGAGTTCACGGGGCAACCCATGAAGTCGGAAGATGGTGTCAATAAAGACACAAGCACAGCCACTTGCCGTGATTGTCTCTGGTACAGCCACAAGGTGTACCATTTTGCTGAATCTGTCAACAAATACGAGAATACCCGTATTCCCGCGTGCGTCTTTGGGTAACCCGAAGACGAAATCCATTGAGATGGATTCCCAGCACTCAGCCGGAACCGGTAGAGGCTGTAAAGGTGCACGCAGTGAAGGACTTGACTTCACTCGTTGGCAGACTTCGCATGCGCGAACATACTTTCGCACAAACTGATACTGGCGGGGCCAGTAAAAGTCTCGACTTACCGTGAGATATGTTTTCTCTCGGCCACGATGTCCTCCTATAGGAGCATCGTGATACTCGAACATGATCCGCAAACGCAGATCAGTATCATCTGGAATGACAACACGTGGTGTGTCACCAGAAACGGCTGTATAATACAGTAAACCGTTACGAGTAGTGTATCGATCTGATGCAGATCGATACGCAGACGACAATCGTTTCAACGATTCTCGAGATGGTTGGGAGAGATGTGACAACAACTTCACTATCTCACCATCTTGGGCGTATGCCCGCCTCACATCATCATACAACGTTGTAGATGGAACTGAGGACGTCATAACCGCAACAGTGACTGTCTCACTGTTGGGTTTCGCGACTGTTTCAAAGTCGGGACGACGTGAGAGTGCATCAGCGACGACATTAAGTCGTCCTGGTTTGTACTCGACCGTAAAGTTGTATTCTGCAAAGAATGACAACCACCGCGCCATTCGTTGTGAAAGGTGCGGGCTGTTCACTGCCGTGCGTAAGGACGCATGGTCAGTGTAAACAACGAAGGGTCTATCTCCTAATAGATAGACTCTGAACTTCGCGAGTGCATACTTCATGGCAAGGAGTTCCTTGTCATGCACTGGATAGTTCCGCTCAGCTGGTTGCAGCTGACGCGACTGATAGCAGACGACGCGTTCAACGCCTTCAAGGTCGTACTGCATTAATGCACAGCCGATTGCGAAATCGCTGGCATCACAGACCACATGAAATGGCCTGTCCTGATCGGCTATTGCTAGGACTGGGGATTGTATCAAGCTCTGCTTGATACCCTCAAAGGAGCGTTGACATTCAGCGTTCCATAACCACCTCTCGTTCTTTTTCAACAAACGAGAGAGGTGCACAGTCATCTCGGCGTAATTGCGTGAATACTTATGCAAATACGCCGCTAGCCCAAGGAATTTTCGAAGACCTTTGACATCGACCGGCACGGGCCAGTCGGTGATCGCCTTGATCTTTTCGGGATCAGGACGTACACCGTTCTTACCAACGATGCACCCAAGAAGTGGTATTTCGCTTGCTGCAAATATACACTTCTTGAGGTTTGCATACAATTGATGCTTTCGCATGATTGTAAGAACTTGTCGGACGTGGTACCTGTGAACCTCAACGTCCGACTTTCCATCCATAGCTCGACTATGGATGAATACGTCATCGAAATAACTCGGCGCGAATTCTCGTACCGGCCTCAACAGATGTGATACACACCTGTTGAACGTGGCAGGGGCATTACTGAGCCCTTGTGGCATTACTAGCCATTCCCAGAGCATGCCGCTAGGCGTGCTAACTGCGGTATAGGGTATATCCCGTTCCCGCATTAGGATTTGATAGAAGCCATCCATCAAATCCATGGACGAAAAGATGGTACTCTTTGACATACCATCAATGATTACGTCCTTCCTCGGTATCGGCGTCTGAGCCGGTACCGTTGCAGCGTTCAATTTGTTAAACGCGTGCACTATCCGCCACCCTCCTGTTGCTTTTCGCACACAGAAGGTCGGAGAGCTATGTGGGGAAGTTGATTCCCTCACATGGCCCGCTGCTAAACGATCGGCAAAGAACTTGTCGATCGCAAGTACTTGTTCACGAGGCAGTGGCCACTGCTTCATGACACAGTACTTCGAGCCTGGTTTAAGCTCGACCTCGTGTCGAATACCTTTATCCTTCGGTAATTCGCACGGAACAGTTTCAGGGAATACATCCTTGAATTCAACCAAATCTTCATAGAGAGGATTTGTCTTGAGCGATTCCCATGATTGGGAGTCATATCGCTCAACTCGTGTCTTTTCATCTAGGACACTCTCGTCCATAGATGAACTACTGAGAACTCTCTCGTTCTCAGTGAACACTGTTGCTGACCTTATGTCGGTTACACACTCGTCGTCAGCGACGAGTATGCAGATCTGCTTGACTTTGCCACTACGCAGATCACGCAAGAATCTTTTATGCTCGAGCGTTGGCAACTGAGTGATCTCCGAAGTTAACTTCGGAGGCGCAATCAGATCAAGTGTATAAGCGCCTACACATGATCCGTTATTGACTATGACATTCAATGTCTCTGTCATTTCCTGGGGACTTATTCCCTCAGGCTTCGAAGGACTTATTCCTTCGTCTTCCCGGGGACTTATTCCCGCGGGTTTCGGGGAACTTATTTCCGCCGTATTTGTAATCTTGGGACTTATTCCCTTTACTTCCTCTAGCTGGGGTTGCGCAACCACAGCGAGATCCTCTACGAAAGACTCTCCAGTCGATCTAGGATTATCGTTTCGCTTAACCTGAGCGATCGATTGTTTCTCTTCTAGATGTTCCCCGCTAGGGATACATCTTTGTCCCAGTCCACCCGACTTATTCGAGTGGTGGACCTTCGGCGCAGCCTGTGTTTCCTCACAGCCGCCGGAACTTTGCTCCGAAGTGTAACCGTTTGGTACACTAAGGTTTTGTGCAGTCGTACTAACGACCGTACCACAAGTGAGGCCATCGCACTCACTCGTAGTACATCCACACGCTTGTGGACGCTCCAAAACGTTCATCAGATGGCCATCTGATGAACAAGCGGCAGGCATCGTTACTGTCCGATGTTGCCAGTTTACCCGTGGTTCGTACCTTCTGAGCCACGGTATTCCAAGGATGACATCAAATTTGTCATCCAAATCCAATACGATAAAGTCATTGTCGTATTGGGTATCTTCTAGCGTATAGTGGATCTTCACTATACGCTTCATGACGGTTACGGATGCGCCTGTCGCAAGACGTACCGTCATCCTCGTAGGAGGTGTGTCACATTCACTGAATTTAAAGTGACCATCTTCTAGCGATTGGCGTCGCACAAAATTGTTGGACGCCCCACAATCGACTAGAGCTCGAAGGGACAACTTATTCGTCACTTCGAGTTTCAAGGTAATGAGTGAGATCTCATTACCTAGAGCAGCAACGCACAACGTTTTTGCGTTGGGAGCAACCTTCATCAAGAGGCCTACAAATTCTCTTGACGTTGCTGGATCAGTAGGGTGCTCCGCACCTACTGATCCTGTCCGTTTTTTGACGGTCCATCCCGTTGTTGCGTCTTTGCACCAACTGCGGACCCTCGTCCCTGCCCCTTTCTCATGGGTGGACGGTCACTACGCCCAGTGTCGCGAGACACTGGACGAGGGGCACTACACTCGTAAGCGTAGTGTCCTGTCTTTTAACATCTGTTGCATCTCTGTAACTTCTTGTAGTCTGTAGAGCGAGCCTTCTCGCTCTCTACATAACAGAGTTCCATCGGCTCTGGACCTCCGGTGTCATATCGTCTCGGTTGACGATATGATGTCGAGCTGGCGCGAGCCTGTCTCAGACTGAAGTCTTCCTGCTCCGCAATGAAAATGGCTTGTTCTAGTGAATCTAGTTCAAGCCGGAACAGGTGAGTCTTGACGGGACCATCCGCAAGACCCTGCATGAACACCGACACCAACGTGTGTTCATCCACCGGATTGGAACTTATACAACTCGTGAGATGTCGTACATGTTAAGCGTAAGCGTGCACATCACGCTTACCCTGCTTGAGCTTCAAGAGTTCGGTTCGAGCTCTGAACTCAGCTCTAGGCGGTTCAAACGTTTGTATTGACCGCGACTTGAAGACTTCCAACGACCCAAACGCATATGGGTCGTGCAACTTGAGCCCCAGTGCCCAAGTCTTGGCACGTCCTGCCAGATTTGACTGGGCAAATGCAACTTGCATATCCCCGTCGTCGATGCGACGCGCCCTTATGGCGTCATCCAATTCGACGAACCATCTCAAGAGGGAGTCTTCTTCGACCCCCTATACTTTGAGATGTCAATCTTCAAAGTCTCGGGCCGACGCGAGTGCATCGACCCGCCAGCAGCAGCCTGCTGCTGTCTCAACAGTTCAAACTGTTGAGCACCTTGTTCTCTCAACAACTCTGCTTGTTGAGAACCTTGTTGGTGAAGCAAGGCTACTTTCTCGCGTTCTGCGTCAAGTTCATTTTGAATGAACTTGGCGATAGTAGCATGTTGGGCATCTCTATTGAGAGCCTCTAGCATGACGCTAACAGCATGGATGCCCATGGTCGAACCCATTCGTTCAACCGCATCCCATTCGACATCGCTCAAATGGGAGTAGCCGTCACGCGTAGCGTGAAAGCTTTGGTCATCTTCATCATCCAACATATTCATGTTGGATGTGAACGCGGTCCTTGGACGGACTACGAAGTGCTACCAGGTGTAACGGGGCACCCTGAAGCTTGTACTGGTGACAGTACAAGCTACTTATTCTGATAACAGAATAAGGCGGTGCCTCGTAACTTCACGTACACTCGTACGTGCAGAGGAAGACGGTAAGAAGAAGCGAGTACTCGGTTAGAGTAAAAAGTAGAACTGTATTTATAATAGTTAATGTCTGCAATAAATCACTATTTATCTTCATCTAACTATGTCTAAATACAAATGTGTGAATCAGTTATCTGCTCACCACTCATTGCGTGCGTCTGTCGTGGCGCGTCTTCGTTGGTTGATATAATGGCCTAAATCAACCAATTAGGAACTACTTGGAAGTGCTACAGAATATTGTCCTTATGACAATATTCTGAGAATATAACTCTTATAGTTATATTCTATTAACAATTTCTTATAAATTGTTATGTAACGATTCACCCCGTTACAGACTTGCCTCCATTCACCACGTGGTGAAGCACCAATCGGGGTAGAGTGCTGTCTTTCGGCAATTATCAGCCAAGCTGTTTGTCAGAAGCTGGTTATTACACAGTTGGGAGGGTGGTCATCATGGCGTGTGGCAACAGATGCGCGGTGTCAGTAATTTGTAGAGATACAAACGTTTGAAGCGGTAGCAAACAGACCGAGCGAGCACATGTTGCTATGTTCTTTGTTTTTGTTTGTCTAGTGTTGATTTGTTTTGTATTGTATGGTGAGGTACATCAAGCTACTTCGGAAGATCTCGAATCGCCGAATGTGCTGCGCTGCCTTTTACGCCAGGTGAGGTTTGAAACCGGTGCGGTCAACAGCTGCGGGTGACAGCGGCCGGTCAGGGTTGTACCAACTGCCATGCGAGTTGTTGCGGAGCACTCGTTCCGTGGAACATGGCACAGTCCACTGCGGCAATTCGTTGCGCTGCCTAATATGTGCATGTTCATTGCCGGACGTTGTTGTTAGGGAAACGTGTGAGATCTGAAAGGATTGATCTGCCGTCCGCGGCATTCGTCGATACGAAACGACTCGAGTCCATCGGATGTTGGCGGCTCAATCCACCATCTTGTTGTGCTTCCGGTTGTGATATGTCCAGCCCAGTTCGTCAGAGCCGTCCGCATATCGACTAGCGATGTTTTGTAGTAGCCGAGGTCTCAGTTGGTCGGGTAGATGGTGTTGTCGCTGTTGGCATGATCATAACGTTGCCTATAGAATCACGTGCAGTGGAGTGCACCACACGTGATTTTATGGGCGGCTTTATAGCACAGGGTCCGACGTTCGGCAAATGTCGTGGATGGTGTCCCCGTATTCGGCCGTGTCGTTAGTTGTGGTGACACGGCTTTACGACGCCTTACAAACCTCACATGCGTCGATTTCGGTATCTAGCCGCACTAGCGCAGATCTATTCCCTCCAGGTCTTGCATTCCCCGTGACCTACCACGTGAACAAAAGCAAGTAGACTCTTTTGCGCTGATGATGAACGTAAACACTTTTCAGCACGCTCGATCCGTACTTTCATCAACTTCTATTGCCTGTGTCAACAGAATACGAAACCGTGGTATTCATGCGCCCGCGAAGTCACGGACGATTTGCCGGAGATGCATGGCTCACCGTACAACAGTTCCATCAGTGATCGCTTGCAGAGTGGTTGAGGTAGAGACATCCTCCTCAGGCCGAAGCCGAGCACGAGCACAACATACTGCGGTTCGTAGGTTGTTGCTATGAGCCTCTCATGTTCTTTGCACGATAATGGTAAGGACAACATCACGCATGAGCGCGGACACAGAGCGACCGAGTTGTAGAATGGTGTAACGGGGTTGCACGAAATTATGGTACTTTGTAACAGAGGTGTTACACACCTGAGGTTGCCCCTTTGTGAAGGTGATATAGAATATCTTATTGGTTTGTAGGGGCTGACGAATGTCAGCCATTAGGTACGAAAGATCTTTGAGTAGGATTAAGATATTCTAAAAAGCGTTAACAAGAATTAAATCAGTTCCCATTTTGGTCTGAAGGACACGTGGCTTGCGATCCGTCTGGATCGTCGATCACTGATCACTAAGAGTTAGCAACTCCCCCTTGAAGTAGCTACTCTTGACCACCGAGTGCTGTCGATTCACTAAATCGTTAGGTCCCCTGGACAGGGATCTGAAGCTGTAAAGCTTGTTGACTCGTAAAGTTGTTAGTTCTTTGGAACTAAGTTGCTCGTAGAGCGTTAAGTCTTCCTCTGACTTAAAAAGTTGTGTAGCTCCGCTACACTTGGTAGCACTTGTAGTCAATCTACGCCTGAGTCTTTAAGACTGATCCTCTGTGAGGATGGAAAACTCCACTCCCCTATCTGAGGCCCAAAAGGTCGCGCTTGATAAGCTGACCGCATCTTTGGGTCCAGAGTACGTGGAGTTCCTTGTTTCACAAGGTCCTGAAGTGCTTAATGCACGTGTTAAGAGCTTCATGCAGCATGAAGCGACCCTTTTAGGGCAGGTCCAAGACCAAGTAGCGTCGGCTATGCCTACAAGCTATGTGTCTGTACCAGACGAAGAAGCTAGGCCTCATCGACTTAGAGTGGAAGTTAAGGACTACTTCGGTAAGGAGGGTGAGAACCTCATCCTCTGGATCCTTGAGAGTGAGATGTCCATGAGATCAGGCATGATCAATCACGACCATCAACAGTTCTCGCTGGCTATCTCAAAGCTCGATGGGAGATCTAGAGAATGGGCCTTGACGTCTAGCACGTCGGTCGACATAGCGTTTCCCACATGGGAGTCGCTCAAGTCACAATTGTTACAGGTGTTATCACCACCTAACCAAGCTTACCGCGTGAGTTCACGCTTTTTGTTTACTCTTCAGGGTAAGAATGAGTTATCGGGCTATGTCCAAGAGTAGAAAACTCGCATGGCTGCAATGCAGTCTGACCCTCTGTCTGATGCAGTTCATGTGACTATCTTCATGGAAGTTCTTCGTACTGGCATTGCCAGAACCGAAGATTTTCGGGTTCACCCGTCTACGTTCGAAGAGGTTGTGAGAATAGCTATAAATGCTGAGCATAACTTCAAGTCGGACAGGCTTGGCTGGAATGCGTACAACCCAAGCTCTGCGAGAGCAAATTCCACAAGTGGTCCGGCCTTTAACAGACCGGAACCAATGGATATCAGCTATGCTGAAGATAAAGGTGAAGTTGATCTTCAAGCTGCTGAGCAACAACGCGTCGTAAGATGATGTTTTACGTGCGGAAGCACTAAACACTTGCGGCCTGGTTTATCTTTGCGTAAACTGCGTCAGGCTACAAGCCAACAATCCACCCCGAGCCAGAAGTCTGGCATGGCACGGGGAAATGCCGACACCCAGTAGGCGTGGGCGCCCTACTGGGGAAGAACCGGTTATGTTACACATTTAGGAGGTAAAGGAATGCAGGGCTTAACCCCAAAGCGCTCCGTACCTATTTGTAATGAGCGTGAACACAAGTATGGCTTGTTAGTCGCCGAGCCGAAAATCAAGGGATTTGAGAGGCCTTGGTCGATGTTGATCGACTCTGGATCGTCTTGCAATTATGCTCGACGTCGTTCCCTTGAGGGAAGTCAACTATATGCTGAGGCGCTTACAGCGCATGATGATGATTCTTTCGCGGTTCGTTTAGCGACTGGAAGTCGTGTTACTGTGCCTAAAGTTCCGTTGAACTTAGAGATACAGTTGATAGACTTTGACAGAATTGAGCGCTGTCTTGTCGTTACTTTGGACTCGAGAAATGATCTCATCCTTGGTATGGCTTGGCTTGAACGCCATGAGCCATGTGTTGATTGGAGATTCAAGACATCAAGCGCCACGCGCAGCGTTCCTCGTAAAGTTTTGGAGAGACGTGAACCATTCTTTGCTAGGTAAGAGAAACACTACTGGCGCGAGCTTTAGGCAGAAGGTGTCAATGTTCTGGACATTGGAATGTCTGAGTAGTCTAACTACAATGTTGTAAACATAATTTCCGAGCCTAGCTCGTCTGAAAATAGTGAAACGGCACGTACTTCGTTGAGTGTGATTTGTTGTGATAACGAGTCACAGCATGCTGATAGTATGGTTGGCCTAGGGCCAGATTATCAAAGATGTTATTTTTTTGATGTGTGTGAGGTGGCACGTGAAAATAAACTGAGTGTGGGTGGCCGTGAGAGGACCATAAGTGATGTCGGTAATGACCTTATTAGCGAGACGCCGTTTAATTTGGGGCTAGGTCCGCATAATACACATGGAGTGGCACGTTTCAAACAAGGGTGAAGTGCTCGAGTTATGCAACACTTCACCAGATGTTGGCCAAGACATAAGCTCTCGTATAGAGCGCACTATGGTTAGTAGTAACCATGGGGACAATATTGTCCCGACCCCTAAGGGGTGTAAGGTCTCGAAGAGACGATCGAGACGCCGGGTAGCTACTTTTAAGCGCCAGGCGTCCTCACAGTCACATAGTGATAATAGTAATACACTATATACACTTGTTAATGGAGTGACTGGTCAGGTTGATGGCAGTGTTTGCCTTGAAACCCTTCCATCTGTGGACGCTCTTTGTGAGCTAGACGAAATGTCTGATGGCGAGTTTAGCCAGGCCTTGAAGGCAGGAGAGTTATACGAGTTAGCGGTCATTAGACCTGATGCTGAGTCGAATTCTTCCTCGTTAATGGATGAGTCTGTCCTGGAGGATACAAAGGCGGCACTTAGTGCACGAAGCGGATCTTCCATCCTTAAAGTTTCTTTGGATCCGTTCTATCCTTTAGTTACAGAATTTTAAAATGCGGTGTGTCACAACCCACCTTCTGCCTTACCTCCCGATAGAGGTGTACGTCATGAGATTGACCTAGTTCCTGGAACTAAATACTGTGTAACACGGCAGTGGCCGTTGCCTAAAGAACAGTGTGACGTCATTGACGACTTCTTTCGTGCTAAGCACGCGGCTGGAATGGTTCGTGAGAGCAAGTCTCCCCATTCAACACCGA